ATTTTCCTTGTTTTGAGTACGTATAATTTGAAGGGGGACATATAGTACAATTAATAAGAAATCTTTAATTTGAGAGTTTTTATAATTTTTTTGTATTTTACACATTTATTTATGTATTAAGTAAAACAGTTTTTGTTCTAAAAGTACTACAAAAAGCTAACCATTTAATTTAAAAAATAAGATTTAAAAATTTACGAAATGATTTTAAAATTCTACTCTTACAATGTTTGACGTAAACACATGAAATTTGATTTATGCAAGTACGTCAAACTATGTATAACAAAAGTTGGTATAGTTTTTCTGCTAACATGATTGATATTCGAAAATACATTTTTTTAAAATTCTTTTTGGATAATCCTTAAAAAAGGTATAAATTCGGCTATTTTTTAAAAAAAATAACTACCATAAAATCCGGCGTATAACACGCACCTCCTTTTTACGAAGAAACCTGAAATGTGCGTATGCACTGCATTTATTCGAAGTATTATTCCAGGCTTTAGAAAAAAATAATATACTTCTAGAACTACAACCCTTTATGTTCATAAAAAGTGTCATTTCTTTTAAATCATAGGTTCCCAACCTTTTTTAAACTGGCGCCCCCTTTTCTAGTGAATATTTCGATACCGCCCCCTCCTACTCCAGAGAAATAAGGGCGTACATAATACATGGTGAAAACAAGAATTAGATTTTTTTTAAAATATTATATTTACTAATAGAACATATATTTTTATTTTGTTTTTTTTCCCTAAAACACATCATTTTTTTTACTTGCAAATCTGAAATAGCTATTGCCATGAATATACAATTTTGAATACATACAATCAACACACGGTAACCACCATTAAAGTTTACTTTTGTAAGTACATAATCAACGTGTTTTTTTTTTTAGTCTTTTTTTTTAAACTATATTTAGTTAATCTACCCATGACCCTCCACACCATCTCAAAACCCCCTAACTTACTCTGGGTCTTTTACTGTCCCCCTGAAAGCCTTACACGCCCACGTTGAGAACCTATGTTTTAAATAAACAGTATATAGATATATGTAGAAGCCTAATTTTTTTTCTATGCCCATCTTTTTTTTATTTTTAAAGCTCACATTTTTATACCCGGCGTATAACGCGTACCCTTAAATTTCGATCTTATTTTTTGTGTTAAAGGTGCACGTTATTCGCCGGATTTTACTGTATATTGCTTTATAATTTAAAAATGCCTGCCAACTTTTGTTACTTGTATTGTAAGCGATGAGTAGAAAATATATCAAAGCGTTTGGCATAGTAGAAAAAAAGGCTTAGCATTTTAAATGAAGATAAATTAGTTATTTTATTTTCTGAAATAAATCAGTTTAAAGTTTTCATATGCCATTGGGATGTGAATAAAAACGAACATATAAAAGTTATAACTGTAAGTTACTTTGGGGATTTTTTTTTAACTTACAGCTTTCAATTTTTGTAAGCTTATAGAGAAATTTATATAAAGAATAATTTAGATTTAATGAATTTTATTTGAATTTTAGGCCGATTTTTGTCGATTGAATCGTATTGTGTCCCCTTAATTTCTAAATGTTTTGCATACTTTGCAAATTTAACAATGAATATTAGAGAAACCATTTCATAATATAATGAATTATTTATTGAGGAGGAAAGATAAATTATCTCTGCGTGCTTTTGACAATTTCGTTGCCACTCTAAATGGGAGCGTAATTTGTCTTATATCGATTTTAAGTAATAGTTTTAGAATTACTGATTATCGCTGGCTTTTTGATATTTCAAATTTATTAAGTATATAGAAATCATTTGATCTTTCACTTAAGATATGAGGTAGTTTTAAATTACCAATGTTTTTTATTGCTTCGCATCATTTGTATGATCCTTATTTTTAGCCTTCGTTTAATAATCTATTTATATCAATGGAATATTTTTCATGGTCTTAGATGTTGTTTCTTGGTATCAATTTTAAAATTATCTATCGATCGAAGTGTGTTTTTTGTTAATCGTCATGGAGATGTTATTTGTTTAGACTAAACGAAAACCCTAATTTGATCAAATTATCAATCACCTTTCATTGGACAAATAAAAGAATGCTCTGCATATCATCAAGAAAAACATGGATTAGTCTAGACGGATCCATCTATTTTATCTAGACGTTCTTATTTTGGTTTTAGCTTTCAGGTGTATATTCGTTTTTTGATAGCTGATTTGTTAATGTGATATATGGCTTGGAACTAAACAATGCCGTATGAGCTGTCAAATTCAAAGCTTTTAAGGTCGTCTTTTTGTGATGTTTGCGGGCAAAAATTAATCGTGTCATGGTGAAATATAAAGCTAAATTGCGTGTTTTAGTAAGAAAAATTATGTATATTCGATTATTTAATAGCCATTGAAATCAACTTATTACATTAATTTATGTTTTTGATGTATGAGAATTAACTTGCATCTCTAAAATACATATTTATGTATCTAGATAAATTAGACATTTTTTTATCACATGACAATTTTTTAATTTAGCTTTTGCTGAAGAATGATGAAAAATATGTAATGGCTACAAACCCGAACATATTATAGATATCGAATAAAAATATTTTATATTGATATCAATCTTAATAAAATTATTCTAATTTATAAATATGCTGTTTGTACTCATTGATATTTTTTAAAGTTTATTGTAGAGTTGAAATACTGCATTTCAAAATATATGTGTTTATCATTAATTGACGGGTTTATATATATAATATAAATCCCATTCAACTTTTTAATTAATTTTAATGATCATTTACTGGATCTTAAAATTTACCTGCATTGCGTCGCTTATTCAATAGGCAACCGCATAAACGTGTTACAAAATATTCCAAATGTAAACATTTGTTTTCGGGTCACGTTTTTCCTGTCCGTCCGTTCTCATTCTAGCAGATAATTCTCCATATTATTCTACTCTCTCGCCTTATCCTTTGTGTATTGATAATTCACGCATGCACAAATAAAGACGTTAAAAGAAATAGCCGAAACGAAAAAAGAAAGATCAAGTATAAGTTAGAAGCATTGTTCGTATCGAGCATTCACTTCATTCAGACTTTCCATGTACAGAAATGCATTGTTGGATTGTTCTCTTTGGTTTCCTGTTCAGGAAAAAAAAAAGATGTGGTTAAAATGGAAAGCGTTTTATGGAGCAGTGTGTCCTCGCGCTTGTAATTGCTCTCATAACAACGTTACATCTATTATCACAAAGAAGACCCGTGGGAACCGAAATTGATGAAAGTAAATAAATAAGGATAAACAACTTGGGTGGGTTGAGTAATATTTGTCCTTCCATTTACTACAGGAATTTAATTTTACTATGTGTCTTCTGCTGGAGTCTTGAATTGAGATCTTCCGAAATACTGTAACCTATATTTTGTAAACATTTTTGTTGTGAATTCTTTGTGACAGTTTGTTCATTGACCGTTGCATCATCCGTTGTGTAGTTTGATTGTACCAGTTATGCAGTTACTTACAATTGTTCTAACTAGATTTTTTTGCGTGGGTTGTGTTTGAATGTATCTTTCTAAATGAAAAAAAGAGAGTATTTTGAATGAAAAATGTTTTTATTATTAGAACAAGTAATATATTTTAAAAAAATTTAAGTAATTTCCTACTTAGGTCAACAAAAATTTTTTTATTTTATTTACTTATTATTAAATAGCTACAGTTAATATAAATCTAATATATATTATAAATGTGAAAGTTTGTGAGTATCTTTGTGGGCCTTTCACGCAAAAACAACTGAATGGATTTTAATGAAACTTTACAGTAATATAGCTTATACATCAGAATAACACATAGGCTAAAATTTATAAAGATATTGTGAGAAGTTTTCAAAATATAACGACAATTGTCAAGAAAGTAGGAAAAAATTCTGCCATTTGCAAAAAAGCCCGTGACAGCATTCATCTTTTTTATCCCTTCTGTTTTGTCTACGCCATACCTCAGTGCGCTTTCGCTTTTAATTTATTCCGTTCATCTCAGTGTCATCACTATTTTTATTTCATCATAAAACTAGATTTCGAAGGGAGAGGTAGTGGCAAAAGATTTTAACATAAAATAAATACAACAAAAAGTAATATTAATGTATTACACTTCCTCATTTTAATTATTTACACTATTTTAAGCGTTCTTTACACAAAATTTGTAACAATGACAGTGGAAGGAAAACTATATGAAATTAAAATAAAATATCAAAATGTTTTTATCATTTAGTTTTTTTTTCTTTTTGAATGTTTTTTTTCAGTACATGTAAATATATATATCTACGCTTCCCCCGTACTGTTTTTTTATAACATATATATATGTGTGTGTGTGTGTGTTGTGTTTTAAAAGTATTTCTATTAATTCATTACTAAATTAATTATTATTCGTTAATTAAAAAAGTACATTGTCTATTTTTTGGATAAAAATACATTTCAGAGACATTTGTAAGCTAACTAAAGAATCGTTTTCTTTTTATTGCTGCACATTAATAATTTTTTAACTAATGCAATATTGTTTTTTAAAAGTCATACATCGAAATTTGAAGCTATATTTTATCTGTGAGGGGGAGGGGAAGAGGAAACAGTAATTTTACACTAAAAAAACCGCGTTATGCCGGGCTAGAGGGAGGGGGAAAAAACCTGTCTTAAATCGAAAATATGTGGAACAAATTTCGAAAAAGGGAAATTTAATGAAATAATTTTAGAAATCACTCACATTGCGTACGTACAAATACACACACAATAGTTGCTGGCGTCATGAGGGAAAGAGAAAGCCCGTGCAAAGCCGGGCTATGCAGCTAGTATGTATATACATATGACAGAATCACAGTATTAACTGGAGGGGGGGGACGATTTTCAGTGCAATTTTTCATTTTCTTTCTATATAGGGTGTTGGACTAGTTTTTTTTTTGGTTTATTACTATTTATTCATTGATTAAACTTAATTATTCTAATAAAATAGTATAGTAAAAAAGAAATCACATTCTCAGAAACTAGGCTATCCCTGGTGGGATTCGAACCCACGACCTTTGGATTAGAAGTCCAACGTGTGTGTTATCAATTACTGTACAGGGACACAACGAACGATTTTTCTTTCTATGTATGCTGATTGACTATTATTTTCGTTTGTTACTATTTTATTAATTTTTGAATTCAATTAATAAATTAATATTTGAAGAAACTGTATTAGCATCAAGTGTCATTCACTACAAGTTTATTAAAATGTATTTGAACTTGAATGGATGAATTGAGAGTATTTTGTCAACAATTGAAAGTTTGAACAATATATATATGTTAGCTAGCTATAAAGTATAACTAGTCAAGATAGTAGGAAATATTAGCCTCAGTATATAGGGAGAAAGTTAACGAATAGTAGGAATTGAAAAATGAATAGTAATATAAAAAGTGTTTGGTATTTTTTAAAAAGTATTTGTTATATTTTAATCATTGTATTAATCTCAATGTAGTATTTAAATTAATGCTCTGAAAAAAATTTTACTAAAAATAACCGAAATGGTATATGTAAAAACGTAATTTCCACATATTCAATTTATTACTCGGCAGGGATTTTTCGTATTGTTTCTTTATTAATGCAAGTTAAACATCAACAGCAAGAAAAAAGTTACAATAATCTTTAGAATAACTAAGCGGCGGTAAACAAGCAATCTACGTTGCCTTGACAACAAACTGGCATCAAACCACTTCAGTTCTTTTTCAGTTGACTTGCAATTACAGTATATATTTAGGATTCGGGCTATGAAGCAAAACTTTTATGTGGGAATGTCTGTTTCATTCATGTTGTTTACGGCTATAATCAAATTTTTGATTAAGTTTAAACTAAATCTTAAGCAATAGTTGCGCTCTAGCTTTTAAAACAGGCTTATATCCTTCATAAGTTTATATCTCTTTTTTTTTTTCTGAAGAATGTTTACACGCATCGACTTTATATATCAGTAATTTTCTTCCCACACATCGAAATTCTGGTTTCACTTTTGATAGAAACGAACCCTATCAGAAATATCATCGAACTTTTGTTTTGTAGCAATGAAAATAAAACACTGCTTCCCCCACTCACTTTTTTAAACCTTTAATTTAAAATTGCCTTATTTTTGTCCTCCATGTGTTTATGATTTGAATAATAATGAAGCAAACAGTTTCTGCTGCCAAATATATGTAGAGCAGTAAGTCGAGTTAGTTAGTCCAAGTTAGTCAACGATGATCTTTAGTTATAATTCAAACGTGAATCGAAAGTGACTCATAGTAATTCGAAATAATCTGTGTGCTCAGTTATCCTGAAATTGTGTTGGATTTATCGATAATTTGGCTTCATTTTAAACTATTTTAAAAAATATACTGCTCGATCTCGTACATTCAAGTGTAAGTAAATGTTTTTCTTATTTATTATAATTTTTTTCGAAGTTAGTTAATTTTATTCTTTTTATTGAAACATCTGGATAATATTAACAAGAACAAAAGCAGATGTTCAATGCCTTCTTCCTGACTTTTATTTGACGTCTTGCTAACTTTCCTTGCGTGCTATGTTTCATACTCTAGTCTTGATTTTGGTAATAGTACCATGAAGTTACTTGCTATTATCCTTGAGGCAAATAATGTTCGAATATAAAGAATAACAGCAAAAAAAAAAAAACTGGTACACGCATGCAACTCATCAAGTTAGTATATGGACGCCACTGGGGAAATAATAAAAAAAGTCAGACAAAAGTAGTTTTTGTTACCGTTCTAGATAACTGGCTTGATACCTTTCCTGGAATCGGAAATATATTGATTTTTTCATCATACTTTATGTTCGATTATTCTGGGCGGCAGTAGCTTCTTCAACCTATTTTCCTCTTGCCAGTCTTTCACCTGCTTCACTGAGCTGTTTCTGAATAGGAACTGAATATAGTTAACTTTAGTCCTGTTTCTTTTTAATGTAAATTTTTTTTTAAACCTTTAGAAAAATTCCATGTATTGTTAACCCCATAAGAGCTGTCATTTTTTTTTTTTTTTTTTTTTTTTTTTTTTTTTTTGCCGAAAATGTTCCAGAAAGGCAGATTTTTTATTGCATGTAACTAAGCAAAAAACTTAACAAAACGTGAATATGGAATAATTTTATTTTAATTTTCAATTTTTTAAAGTTTCCACATTTTTATTATTATTATTATTTTATAGTTGTGAAACTCAAAAAACCCTAAATGTTTGATTTTTATAAGTACACTTAGCATGCTGTGAAGAATGTTTCATATATCTTAAAAAATTTCTTTTAAACTTACAAAAACATTTCATGTTCGTACCTCTTTTTTCAAACTGTTAAGGATTTTGCGCGCGCATATGTCTGGGCACACACAATTAGAAACATGGTGTAATATTAAGGCCGCGGTAGCCGAGTGGTATAGGTATCGGACCGTGGCTTGCTTTGTCACGGGTTCGAGCCCAGTCCCGTGGCCGCGGTAGCCGAGTGGTATAGGTATCGGACCGTGGCTTGCTTTGTCACGGGTTCGAGCCCAGTCCCGTGGCCGCGGTAACCGAGTGGTATAGGTATCGGGCCGTGGCTTGCTTTGTCACGGGTTCGAGCCCAGTCCCGTGGCCGCGGTAGCCGAGTGGTATAGGTATCGGACTGTGGCTTGCTTTGTCACGGGTTCGAGCCCAGTACCACTAAAGACCCGCCGTGTAGGGCAGCGATGCACGTTAAATCTGTCGAGAGCTGAAACGTCCTCCCGTTGGTGTGGTGTGGTAGTTAGGAGAGGGGGGTGCCAGCTCAGGTGTCGTCCACGTCACTTGACCTTGGTTCAAAATTACGTGGTCCGTCGCCAAAAGCCCTCGTGTAGCTGAACAGTGCGACGTTAATATTCAATCAATCAATCAATCGAGCCCAGTCCCCCTAAAGACCCGACGTGTAGGGCAGCGATGCACGTTAAATCTGTCGAGAGCTGAAACGTCCTCCTGTTGGTGTGGTGTGGTAGTTAGGAGAGGGGGGTGCCAGCTCAGGTGTCGTCCACGTCACTTGACCATGGCTCAAAATTACGTGATCCGTCGCCAAAAGCCCTCGTGTAGCTGAACAGTGCGACGTTAATATTCAATCAATCAATCAATGGTGTAATACTAAATCTTACAATGTAATGAGAACAAATATAATATCGGCTTTTTTGGATTACCTTACCATTTTCATTCCTTTTCAAGCGACGAATTGCACATTGCCTAGACAATCCTTGTTCATCGAATATTTTCAAGAATATAAATTCCTACCTTCAATGAATAACTCTTTTGCCTTCACAACAAAGAAATTCCCTAATGAGAAGTATTTCATTACCATGGATAAACTGTATCTCTTAAAAACACAAGTACTAATATAATCTTATTATAAAAATTTTAAATATTTGCAAGTCTAAGAAGAAAATATCAGCGCCCTCTCGGCGTACGGACAAACCAGTTGTGGTCAGCACGTACAGTGTCCAGGCAAACGAGTTTAGGTTGCAATACTCAACTTGCGGGCCGCATCCACCAAGCTTTTTTAAATGGCCCGGCTATAGTCCATTGCTTTGAGAAATATACTTGTTTAAGAACACTGTATTAAAAATTTGGTGGGAAATTTTTTGTCAAGAAATCAATTATATTACTTTGCTTTTTGCTGTCGGTGTCGTACGGGTTCGAATTGATATTCTTTTTCTATTTGGAACGGTTATGGTTAGTGATAATAGACAACAGTGGAGTAGCGACCATTTTATGGGTGAAACTAGTACTTTATAACTATCTTTCATATCTTGCAAGCGAAAAATATTCAAAGAAAATATATCGTTTCAAGACGATTGGGAGGGTGACTATTTTGACTATTTGAATCAGTAATTGTTTGATTTTTCACAAAAGTTCTGTATTTAAAAAATACCAATAAACGTGAATCATTCAATGACACTTCTCCACGAATATTTCTTTCAAGAGGTGACAAATAAGCCTTTTTGAATAATATTTGTTGCAGCAACAAAGTGTTTTGTCAGTGGTAATATCACGGCGGTAACAAAAACATCCCATAAAGTTTGTTATACGCGTATTATTGGTAGTCATATATGAAACCGTTTACTGATGCAGAAGTTGTGAAGAAGTGTTTCTTAAATGTTTCTAATTTAGTGTTAGTGACAAAAATAAAAAAATATAAAAAATACTAATTAAAAAAGGCAAAACAGGAGTTATAATATTTTAATCAATTTTCCACATTTTAAATTTCCAATGTTATCTTGGTTTTTAAGCATTTCTTTCCCTCTTCCCCATTTATCCTCATGTTGTGGCCCGCCTGAAATAACTAACATATATGTATCCTGCCCGCGTGAAATAGCTGACTTACGCGTATGCGGCCCAGCAGAAAAAAAGGTTGAGTACCTCTGAGAAAAGTGGTTAAAGTAGTCCCTTTTTTTTATCTTTCCTTTATTTCTTTTTTAAGGAATTTTTTTATGTATAAAAGTTTTTGACTGTAACCCCCCTCCCCCTTGTCTCACAAAAGTTAAATTCTTTTACTTGTAGATGTGATTCTCTCAGTTTCTATTTTCGAAAATTATCTTCGTGTCCCTTTAAATTCACAACTATGTTCCTTTTTTAAAACAAAAAAAGAATATTTATCAGGACTTACTTTATTTCAGAAAGCATCTTGCTCACATCCTTATTCATTCTTGAGTACTATCAGTGATTCAACCCAAGACTTCATTTTGCTTATTTAGTTAAAAATAACAAAAAGCGATATTTTTATGTGTGGTTTAAAAAACAATTTCAAACTAAATTTGAATTGGGCCAAATTCATGATGGTCTCATAATAAAAGGCAATCACGTGTTCTCCATTGAATTTAAAACTGACATTGTACTTGTTCTACTTGTAAAATTTAGATAAAATTTCAAATTTTATAATTGAGTAAAGATGTTCAAGTATAAAAATTCTTATATTATTTGTGTATTATTGAATCAAGGACGTTTTGCCTATACTTATTTGCGTTCTTATATGTAAAAATATATACTTTTTAAAAGAAAGTGTCTGCAGAAAGCAAAAGTTGGCATCAGCGAAACGCATGAACTGATTGGCAGGAAACACATGAT